CTTGGTGACATCACACTGGTCCCTGCCCAATCTTCTAGAACAGTACTCTCCGGACACTGCTTTGTTGCCTGGAAATTTTCTCCACCCAAACTGGCAGGCCAGGTTACCCCTGAGGGGGTAGGGGGGAAAGGGGCTGGGGGAGGGGTCTTCTCTTATCTCCCAGAGGAGAGATCGAGGATTCCATCCGTCTGTCTGACTAGATGGTGAGTAGGACCCAGGGGCAAGTCGGGACTCATTGTCAGGCATGTGGGCAATGGAAGGAGAGGAGGGCTGGATGTGGGAACACTTTGTCTTGGGGCTGTGAGAGTGTGGTAACGACACCAAGGTCACCTCAAAGATAGTGTAAGGGGTGGCTTATAATGGGAGCAGGGACCGAACTGCCTGAGTTTAGGAGCTGAGAGACTTTAGTTCTGCTCTCTGCTTTGGCTGTGCTGTCAGGCTGCAGTTTCTCCATCTGTATAGTGAGTGGCTGGGCCTGGTGATTTAATCTAGGGTGATAGGGGCCAGGTCAGGAGTGACTCCAGATAGGTGGATTGACACCTGCTGTCAGAGGGACAATAGGCAGTCTGATGTGAATAATCTCTCCAGAACACCCCCAGCCCCCCTTCCAGGACTCACAGTCGTGAGGCACTAGAGACCCCAATGTGGACTCTGACTTGTGTGATTCAGGAGTGTGTCCTTGTCCCTCCCACACCTCAGTTCTCTCAGTAGGGGGCATGTTTAAGACTCAGAACTCACTCAGCACCCTGGATAATGATTCCTCACTTTCCTGTGACGTTTCTCGGTTTGCTAAGCACCTTCTCCTTCTGGTACACACTTTCACTTTCCACACTCACTCTGACTCCTGCCTGGTGATGCCCCATCCTGGGGGCTGGAACCAGACAGGAAGCAGGCCAGGGCCTTGCCCTGGGGATCCAGAGAGGCACCTTCATCCACCTGTTGTGGAGGGGCCCGATGACTGGACCAGGGGGCCACAGGGAAAAATTCTGTTTAATCTTTCATGAGAATCTTAATAACCATTATATCAGGATGTTACAGTAACACTTTTTTGGGAGGAAAACATGCTAATTTGGGCAGTATATTTCTCTGCCCAATTATATATTTTGTTACTTCTTTGGGGGCAAAACTGAGACATGTAAAACTTTTTTTTTCTTAAAGACTTATGTATTTATGTGTACAGAACTGGAGTACAGGCCAGAGGTGTGAAGGGGGTGAGAAGATTCATTAGAGATAAAGTGGTGAGCAAAGGGGCAGATCAACGAAGTACACTGCTGAGGGGAGCAGCGGGCGGGTCAGGAGAGGTCTGCCACGCCATGTGGTTACCTCCCTGGCTGAGAATCAAATTCAAGCTGCAGAGGCTGTGGTAGCTTCATAGTCCTGTGCTTTAATCCATCGTGCCACCAGGGAGGGCCCCAACTCTTTTTTTTTTAAGATTTATTATTAATTTATGCAACAAGAACAAGGGTGTAAGCCAGGGGTATGGAGGAGGAGGGGAATGAGAGAATATACCAGAGACAGAGTGGGGAGCAGAACCAGTGGATCTACTGAAATACACTGCTGAGGAGAGCACAGGCGAGACAGGAGAGGTCTGCTGTGCCATGTGGGTCAGCTCCCTGGCCAGGGACTGAACTCACGCCACAGTGACTGGCTGATCTGAGACGTAATCCCTGTGCCATGAGGGAGGCCCCCATAGACAACTCTTTATTTTTTGCAATAATTCTTAGAGAGTATGGAATAGTATTCTAGGTGAGGAAAACAGGTGCATAGAGAGTCTGTCATCTGATCTTGGTTACACAGCTAGAAAATGGTATAGTCAGGATTTGAACCCATGTCCACAGATACTTTGCTCTGCCAAGTTGTGAGAAACAATTGGGCTAGTCCTACATTTCTAACCCAGATCCTTCCAGTTCCCTCCTCCAACCTAGTCTTCCTGGGATCACTCTTCTTCGCTTGAGTAGATGGGGCCCCTTTCTCTGCTGCTCAGGGATTTTAAGACAAGCTATGAATCTATTTTGATCTGGTTTTGATTGAGAGCATGTCATGAACCCCACATCCAGAGACAACCAAAGGCAAATTAGTGGTGAGTAGGAGGGGGAGCGATGTTGTTCTGTCCACTAGTGGCTGGCCAGCTAACTTGGTCTGCACTCAAGGCACAAGGCTGAGGCCAGGGTGTAGCTACCTAAGCCGAAGGGTGGCAGGTCACCCATCTTTTTGGATAACCCAGAAGAGTCATCCTTAGTTAATCTATGAATTGGAGTCATAGTTTGGTTTCTGCCATCTGTACAGCCCTGAGTTTATTTCTTCCTCAGTCTGGCAGTTTTCTTTCCACCCCAACCCCAGCCCCACACGTCCCTACCCCCACCTGAGGCCTTTGCTCTGCCACCATCTTTGGACTTAGGTTTTTATTTATTTGTTTTTAACTATTTTTCTTTCTTTCATATATTTTTTACATTATTCTTCATTTGTACATTTTTTCATCTCAGTTGTAATCCCCATGGACGTCAGACTGGCAGCTTTCTAGGGTGGGAAAGTCCTGCTGTGAGTCCGCCTCATTGTTACATCCCGCTGTCACCCCAATTTTATATTTTACTTGGGAATGGGTAGCTGGAGACAGAACTGGCATGAGCTGGGCTGTTTACTGCCCTGGTGCCTGCTGTCTGCTGCGAAAGCTTTCAGGGAGCAAAGTAGACAGGAGCCATCTGACCAGTGTGCCCATCTCTTTTCCTTTGGGCAGAGCCTGTTTTGTGAATTGTGTATCCCATTTTGGGTCTTCCCCATTGGGTGTGAGGCTGTCAGATAAAACCATGAAGGCCAGGGGAGAGTCAATGACTTGCACAGAGCTGAGGCTGAAGCAGAGGAGAGCCTGAGTGAGCCAGAGCCTGGCCTCCAGAGAGCAGGGAGCTACCCCTCCCCCACTCCCAGGCACTTAAAGCATGTTGTTGAAAAAGGTAGGGTCATTATCTGTCATGTCCCCCATACTGCAGATGGGAAGCCTGGAGAACTAAGTTTACCACACAGACTTCATGGGAAACTGCAACTCATTTTCCTGGATTTTCTTCGCAGAATGCCCCTGTGGTCTCTTGTTATCATGGCTCTCTGCTCACCCCCACTCATAAAATTAGACCCCACTCACAAACATCTTAGCATTCTAAGCACTTCAGGAAGAAACACCTCTATTTGTGAACCTACTGTGACAACTTTTATCTTCCTCTAGCTTCTTTAAGAAAAGCTGTTACATCCTAGGAACTCTAGGATGGGGGGCTGCATGCTATGCTTTTTTGATTTCCCCATCCTGCAAATGGGAAACGGCTCAGAGAGAACAGGAAAGACAGGGGAGAGAGACAGCATCTGGAATGGAGGGAGGCTGAGACCCAGGTTCTGAACAGGATGGCTGTATACTCACTGTGCAGTGCTGGGCAAGTGGTGGCACTTACTGGGCCCTGTTGGTTGTCCATCTGTGAGAGCTCACCACAGACCCTCCTGGCCCCTCTGTGGTCAGGAGCTCAGGCTTGGGCCCTTTGCCACACTCGTCCTGGTCTGGCCTCAGAGAAATTGAAATTCTGGCTTTGGTTCCCACAGAGTGACTGGAGCAGAACTGGCACTTGGGGCCTGGAGGGCAGATGGCAGCCTCAGTCTGGAAGGGATGACAGCAGTGCAGGTGGACACATGTCCCCCTGTGGTTATGTGGTTACTGAGCCCTGGCCCAATTCTGCCTAGGGAGGGACAGGGGAGCCCCAGAGTTCCGGGGCCAGAAGCTTAGTCTAGGCAGTGGGAGGTGTGTGAAAGTGTGCCTGGGCACTCAGCAGGGCCGGTGGTGGACAAGAGCCAGAGCCTGGGCTGGAGGGGAGCACTGAGACTGAGAGTGGAGTGGAGATTTTGCAAGTCTGCAAACCTTGTGGATTTGCCTACCTCACTGGAATGGATGGGTAGGTTGGTGGGGGATGTGAGCTGTGGGCACCTCAGAGTTGCTCTTGGTTGTGGTGGAGGTATGTGCCCATGGTTGGGTCTGTGTTTTGTTATGGGGGGGGGGCATCCTTCCAGTGGGTAAGTAGGCTGCTGTACCTGTATAGGAGGGAGGTGGCGAGAAGAGGCTCACAATCAACTTCCAGAATCTTTCTTGTGGAACCTCTTCGCCTCCTGTCAGAGCACACTTTTTCCACGCTTAGTCTCCAACCCTGGTCAGAGGAC